TGAGGAGATGCTCCGCAGGGGATAATTAGAGAGGACATTCAGCGCAAGCTGGCGTGTAGGTCGACGCACCATCTAGATTGGGAGGAAAACCGAGACCTCCTGGATTATACATTCACTACATAACGGGACTAATGACCGTAGCAGTTGACGTTACATCAATCAATAACACTGGTCAACACACGTTTTGGTGCCTCAGATATGAAAGTTATTTCTGTGTATTTCGGTGTCATTGATTCCAAAAAATAAATTACTTTTACTCTATCAGCTCTAGTAAATTCAGCTCTTTGTAGATATAGAATTATCATCACATTCCCCACTGTACGTGCTAGAATTTGGGAGCATCAATGACATGTAAACATTATATATTTACTTTAGTGGTGTTAATTTGTTCGTGGTGTCTCGTTGGTGACTCCCGCAAATATACGTAATATACACTGGAAGCACAAATCATCCTATCCCCAACGATTGTACAAATATCTTCATCAAGCCTAGCTCGTAATGCAAAGGAGGAAGAATAATTTTCTCTCCAGCAACTAAAGGTAAATTGATTAGATTGTTTTCCCCTACAACTATATCTTTCTTCAGAGGTCAAGTTTTTCTCAGCCAGCTCACTTTTGGGTCTGCTGTCTCAGAGAAATATAAAGCAAGGGTAGTTTGTTTAGCCCCTTTGTTGACCGACAAGAACATTCACCATCTTCACATCAACAAAAATTACCCACTGATGTCCATAATATTTTTTTTAACTAAAGAAATTGTCTCGTACTCTTCTTTCATGCAGAATGAGTAACTAATTGGAACAGAGCCATGGTGGTGGGGTGAATGTGTTTGTATATATAGTTTAAGTATCAAAGTGAATGTGAATGAAAAAAAGAAAGAACTTGATAAAGCACTTTAATATAGATATCTAAACCTTCATGTGTAACCAGTACAGCCCAAAGTGGCCATGTATGTAGTTACGTTAATTTTACTTAGTTTAAGTCAGGCCCGCCCAAGCTGCAAAAGCCCAATCGGCTGCAGCTAATATATGTATCCCGAAAGTAAAATAAATCCCCGCCTCTCCAAGGCAACTGGAGGGGGGAAATCGAAAAAACAAATGGGCAATACCGTTCCAGAAAACACAGAGGGGAGTTCAGCGCAGCAAGTTCTACGGAGAGTACACTGTCAGAAATTTCTGAATTACTTTTAATGTAAAAGTACATGAAGGTAATTATCATGTACGCACATACAATTTAATGTACACATACAGTAACTTTAAAGTACGTGTACATTGAATTTGGTGTATGTGTACAATTAAATTTAATGTACACATGTACATTAAATTTACTGTACGCGTACTTTACAATTACTGTACGTGCACATTAAATTTAATGTGCGTTCATGATAATTACTTTCATATACTTTTACATTGAAAGTAACACAAAAATTTCTGGCTGTGCTTTTACTTCTCCTTCAAGAGCAAATACTTCTACTCCTAACACGACATGGATTTAGAACTCTTAAATGCCATTGGCGCATAAAAAATAATGAACTTGTTTACCGAATATTATTGAATTAATTTTACCAAGATTTATTTATATAATTTATTTATTGAATATGAAACAATAAATAAATATTTTATTTTTATTAATACTAAAAAATATTTTTTTTAAAAAATACAAAACTTTCAGCACTTCAGAAATGAAAAATTCACAACTTTTTACAATGTACACTTCGTTATATTTTGTCCAATTAATTGTAATTGGACAAAATACAATGTAATTACAAAATACAATATATTGTAATATAAATTGTTTAAATCTTTTTGGACAATTTAAAAACTGCAGAATCAAATTTTTCCACCTTCTTTTGAGACCTTTTATGTCCTGTTGGTTTTATTTCCATAATTTCCCTGAAAGTAATAACTTTATTGTTAATAAATAACATTTATTCAGCATTACCTTTTACACAGTTAAACAAATAATAATAAAAATAATTGACAAAGGTAATGGATTTGCTTGCACTTGCTATAACTGAGCACAAAAAGGAGAACGATTCATACACAAAAAAAGAACAAAATGAGAAGGAAAATCGATTTAATATGAAACAAATTATTAGTAATATTAGTACTAGTTGGCAATATTGTAATTATATAATGATACTTTTCTTCTTTGGTCGTTACAGATCGTTGGACGTTTGGACGTTGGATCGTTGGACGTTGGACAATTACAGATCGAGGTTATTTCGTATCTTCTCGATTTTGCCCTGAATTTCCCAAGTGTAATTTTTAAAAATCTAAATGTAGTTTTTGAAAACTCCTTTTTGGTACAGGCCTAGTAGGTACTATGTAAAATATTGTCAAATACATTTCAAGGGGAGGTAAGAGAGTAACGTGAGGTTTTCGAAAGATATTTTATCAAAATTGTTTAATTTTGTGAATACAAACTCTCGAATGAAATGACTATTTAAACTCAATACGATCGTGAAATCCAATGTCAAGGGCGTATGCAATGAACTGAGGCTAGAATTTGTATAGAAAGTTAAGTATTCTTTTCCTTCCGCCATTTTCTTGCCTGGAGTAGCATGTCACAATCGGTATTTACTTTTTTTGAATATTAATGTGATAGTGACTTCTTGTATAAAGGACATTTATTTAAGGATATCATTGAAACATTAAATATTAATACTTGTTCGAAATGCACACGTACCTACTTCAACTAGTAGTCGTAATATTAATGATGCGATATTTTGACGTTACTATTTCTCTGGCGTCGCGTCAAGCCAGCTCAAATCAGTTTTCTCAATGAAAATAGGTGGCAATTAATTAGCAATAAAATATTAGTTTCCATCGAGATACGGGTCGAATTTAACTTAGCATGTGTGTACTGGCATCGCATCTTGCCACCTCGCATCCGTTTTCACAACGAAAATCTGTGACAATAAATTCTTAATTGTGACAATTAATTAGCAATAAATTATTGGACAGTTTTATTCGGGTGTGCTGACATGGCTGTTCCATCTTTGGTGAACTCGGAATGAAGCATTTTGAATTATTGCTTCACCGTGGTAAATGATGAATTGAGCGGTAAAACCTTGAATTTATCGATTTTGACTAAAAATGTAGGATACTACCTAGGCCCTCAATTAAAGACAATATTGTTTCTTACACATGAATTTTAAAATTACATGAATAAAATTACATGCAAAGGATTATCTGAATTTTTTATCTTAAAATTAGATAAAATAAATGTCTCAAACATTTTGGTCTACATTCAAGGACTCCTTCAAGAAGTAATATCAAAAAGAAAACATAATCCAAGATCATAATATCCATAAACGTGAAATATAAATACCTATTAAATTAATAATAATCTTAAAAAACTGAAACCAGACTTGGCAAGTGCATTGGGGATGGTTACACTCCGCAAAATTTGGAAGGACAATATTACAACCTCTTAAAACTGAGCAAACGATAGCGTCAGAAATAATAATTCAATATTATTCCAATATAAGCACAACTTGAACATCAGTATTCGGGAAGATAATTTAATGGAGGCACATATATAGGTAAAAAATAAGAATAATTTCCTACAGCCTAATTAATTGATTGGAGATACTAATCCAATTGTTATGATTTATTTCGAAGTAAATGTGTTGATAACAAATGATGAATTTAAAATTGAAGACACTATTATAGAACTCACTATATGTCTTGTCGTTGGGCATGTGTCATATCCATTCACCCTTTTTCAATCAGTTATAAATCTTAAAGAAGGTTGACCACCCATTTCCACATTGGTGAGTCAACCGTCGCACCTACTCTTGCTCCGTTACGGTCAAATTGGTTTCACATTTTGATGATACGAGAAAATAATATAGGTATTGTTTTTAATGTATGTCCTACGTATATATTTGAATGAGTTGTAGACAATAACAGTCAGTAAGACTTCTACAAAAAATACACCTAATAAGTACTATTTATTTCTAGGAGATAGGGTGGATTTTGTTAGAAAATTGTTTTATCTTACTTAGATATTTATTTCAACTTATCTGAAGCTAATAGATAATTATACTACATTTGTAGGCATGAATTCCAAAACAAAAATTAATCAAAAAAACTTTATATGGACATTTTTTATAATTACCGTACACGCCTGCTTATTATAAAGTATTATTTACTAAACAAATTGGTAATTTTCTAGTCCTGATTAATGAACCTATCAGAATTCACACCCGGTGTCAAAGGGAAGGGGATGAGAGTAGAGCAAGAGAAATTTATTCAATTTATTTACGAAGGAGGCGATCTTACAAATGAACACTATTCTTCTCTGCAGTATTCCAACAGCCTTAATTTATTTTGCTTATTCCCTTATCCCCTTTTTTTTATTTACTCCATTTTACTTTTGAATCTCTTTAAGCTTTGCGTGTGCTCATGCGGAAATCCTCACCGTTGTTGTACCACGAGAGGTTATCGCACTTTACGGCGGTCTTGAAGGTCACGGATCAAATATTAATGCCAATTGTGGGATTCGATCCGACATTGTATTGACAGAAACAATTCACATGCTAATATTAAAAATTACGCTTCTGTTATCACAAAACAGTTATCAATTTCAACCTACATGGTCATGTAAAGCAATTAATTTGTCTTTCTTTATTTCCAATTTATTACGCTTTATTTCTTGATCTGCATCACTAGCGTAATAATTTCTCCTGTGGTTACTTGCCCTTGGTTGCGGTTGTCGTAACGATACTGCTATTTCCAAATATACATAGCGCGTTTATTTCAAGTTTACCAATGCATTTATTACTAAAAGACTTAAATTTTGTCTTTGCTATTGACAATGCATTTAGAAACAATTCCACGTTTTCCTTTACAAAAACTTATACATTTCATTTTTGAAAGTTACAGAATGGGGCAGTAAAAACATTAACTATACTTACGATGTTTTCAATTATGAAAATTATAAAACTTGTGTGATAAAACATTAAATGGTTTTTATTTTTATATTCACACACACACATGTTAATCAGGCATGTGTTTTGGCCTTGAAGGTCTGGAGGGCTGAAAAATCAATATTTGCCACACAGTCAGCTTGTTTTCCACCAAGAGTGGCTGAAGTCTCTGGTGTTGGGCAGACAGTCATGATCTTTTGTGTTTAAGTTTGACCTGCAAATGTGTACATAAGTGCAATGAGTAGTATGTTGTTGTAAAATGACTCCATAATCATGGAAGTAAAGGAGACCTAAACAATTTGTGTTTATAGTCTCATGTGTAAGTTATATTGTTGTAACATTTACTGATAAATTCTTAATAACATAGTTTTTTTCTTCTGAAAATTATTATAAAATGTGCATTTTTCAGCTAATAATGACATTTTTGTTTACTGAAACTCAAGTCAAATAATTTTGACTATGAACCGCTACATAACTCTCAACCAACTAGGTGATGGAACGTATGGATCTGTAGTTTTGGGACAAAGAGTGGACACTGGAGAGAAAGTTGCTATTAAAAGGTAATACTATGCATTGCTCACAAAAGTAATTCATATTTATTTATTGATACAGAAAGTTTAAAGATGTTTTCCAAGGGTATGTCATTATTTCAAATAATGCTTGTTTATGTATTCATACAAAAATACATTCACTTTTTCTTAAAAAAAGTTTATTTTTAACAAACAAATGTTTGAGCCTCCCATTTGAAACATTGAGCTAATGCACAAAAAAATTATCATTACACCACGCATATTCATTTATTTTATCAAGTATTTTGGATGTTTTTAAGTGTTAATACCACATATTGTCTACATTGTTTTGAACATTTCATAAAAACTTATTATTATTATTTCATAAATTTAATTTTTCATAAAAAACTATATTGACAATGCACATTCAAATTCAAAGAAGTAACATAAAGAAAGTATGTATTCAAGATCTCATTTGAAATTTAGATTATATTTTTTCAAATAAATTTTGAAATTTTTGCATGTAATTACTTTCTAATGTAAACTCAGTACACTCAACATAGTCAAGATTTTGTCAGTCACTCAAGTCAGTCAATCGGTCTTTATGTATGGGCAATATTCAGATTTGGAACAAAGGATCATCTTAAAATTTTTAATTTTTGGTCTTTGTTATCTCCCTATTTAATTCGTGTGAATATGATGTGCAATCTTGAAGATTGATCATCGTCGGTTTCAGAATAACTAAAAACAATTTTTGTCATTCAAAATTACTAAATGCTTTTTCAATTCAGCATAAATTCCTTCACTAACAAAAATAGTTAAGATTTATATCTAATGAAATCTTTTACGGTTCCAGAATGAAAAGAAAATATTATTCCTGGGATGAAGCTATGAATTTACGTGAAGTCAAGGCAAGTTAAAAAATACATTTAATGTGCTTAATTTAATTTTCATTGTAAATAAATTTATTCCATATGAAAATTATTTTGCATGAAATGTTTTCAGTCTCTGAAGAAATTAAGTCATGCAAATGTAGTGAAGTTAAAAGAAGTAATTCGAGAAAATGACACTTTGTACTTTGTTTTTGAGTACATGAAAGAAAATTTGTATCAACTGATGAAGGACAGGTAAGAATGGAAATTGTATTACCAAAACTTATTGCGAATGTATTTTAAATATTTCATTCTCATTTATCAACAACTACTATCATTTAAAAAAAAAAAAAAATGAGATGACTGTTTTTATTTTTTTATTTTTCAATCCTGCATTGTAATATTTCAAATTCAAAAAACGTTAAGCCACATTAATAAAAAAAAGTATTCAAACAATTATATAATTTTGTACCCTTCAGATGAGGTAAAAATGTAAATTTTTGCTCCTTGAAAATTGCAAATATCTTTTGATTTACAGGTTTAATTATCTTTTTTCACACCAGTGTTATATTGGAAATAACCTTTCCAAACCGTCTATTTTCCATTTCCTCTTGTTTCTTTTTCTGACCACTTAGTCACTGTTATCTTCAGACCTCTTTCTGGAGTTTCCTCCCGACGTTCACATTGAAATGTAACTTGGATTCATGACAATTCTTACTGTTAAAGTAATTCTTGAACTTCTTTTTAAACATTCTGATTTTTTCTCTGTAGCTGTAAAAACAAATTTAGTGTAATTTATCATTGATCTTGGTATATTTTAGATATAAATTGGAGAATCATATCATATAAATGGCTGCAACCATTGTAGTTCAGTTGAATTTTTAATTTTAGTCAGTTGAAAATAGATTGCATTTGAAGGTAAATTAAGCGTTTCTTTGAAGAATGTTGTAAAACAATCACATATATAGTCTTTCATAATTATACGATTTGTTCAAAAGAAAAGAAAGAATTCCGGAAATGTATTTAGATTTACAAATTTATTTTCGTTTATTAGCCTATTTACATTGATATTTCTTTGTGCAATATCAGAAAGCACTGTCAATAAAAATCAGTGTCTAGATATAAGTATATATTTTTTAATTAAGCATTGACAATAAAAAATTATTTTGGAAACTTTGAATTCAAGAAACTATTATATTACAATATATTTAAAAATGATGTTTTATTGTTTCAGAGATAAATTTTTTCCAGAACCTGTTATTCGTAACATGATTTACCAGGTGCTCCAAGGCCTTGCATTTATGCATCGGCATGGATTCTTTCATCGTGATATGAAGCCAGAAAATTTACTTTGTATGGGACCTGAACTTGTAAAAATTGCAGATTTTGGACTCGCACGAGAAATACGATCTCGTCCACCTTATACAGATTATGTCTCCACACGATGGTATATAACTATATTGCAATACATTTTCAATGTTTAATTTCCAATTTATTTGTATTGATTTCAAAGTGTATTGCCAATATATTGTCACATCAAGACTACTAGTTCATTTTTAATTGCAGGAGAGCTGATCACAAGCATATATTTCTACTCTATGATTTAGATTTTAATTCATTTTCAGAAACTGATAGAAATATAATAATATTATTTGGGGTTTAACTTTCACTGATACTGCTTGTATTTTAATATGTTGTTTTCAAAATCGTCTTGTTTCCTTCATTTCAACTATGCTGACTCAATATAACAAGTTCATTAAACACTAATTAACACCAACTTTCCCTCATACTGTGAATTCACGAAATGTTAATAGGAACAAAATTAAAAACAATATATGTTTACAAGGAAAGTACTAAATATTATTTAACAATCAATCTTCTAATGGCGTGGGTGTAACTATTTCACACAAAAAATTGGTAGGCCTACTTACAACTCTTAAAACACTTGCTCTTTACATAACATGTCTGACATTTTCAAAGAAATCATGAATTGTGATTAATTAGTGTGAAATACATGCTAAATATTTTAAAGCTTTTTTAATAATCATCGTGTCTCTTCTTATCCAATTATATATAACTTTTCAAATAAGGTATCAACAAACTTTTGCTCAGGCACTGTATTCAAGTGTGAAATAACGTTCATTGTGTATCTCTGTGAAAGCTTTAAGTCATGACCTTAAACAGATATAAAAAGTATCCAATAAAATCAATTTTAGACGTGAACCTTTTTTTTAATTACATCATATCATTTCATGCACATCATATGAACATTCAACTTCAGGTCCATGACAAGCAAGAATTATTGCAATTTTTAAAAACAACTTTTGTTTTTTCCTGATATCATGGTAAGCTGATATATTTTTGCTCATTCGTTAATAGTCCAAAATTGCAGTCAAGTCTACCAAACAAAATATACTGAAGTACAGCAAAGAATACAAAGTATACTGGTTATTCGGATGGTTTAAGTAGTTGGGCTATGATTTTGGTCACATAATTTCCTGAAGTCAATGTTCAATTATTGTAAAACCTGACCTCCACAAATTAGTAACCTTTGAGACTTGTGATAACTTAACTTTGACTATACTATTTGTATTTCACAGGTATCGAGCACCTGAAGTTCTTCTACACTCGACTAACTACAGCAGTCCTATTGATATTTGGGCAGTAGGATGCATAATGGCAGAATTGTATACATTTCGTCCTCTGTTTCCTGGGAACAGTGAAATAGATGAAATATTCAAGATATGCTCTATTCTCGGTACTCCAGATAAGGTAATGATTTTAAATATTTCTTAATTTGTTCCGACCCTTTTATGCTCTAGAATGCTTAATAAAAAAGTGAACAAATTTGATCACAACTATTTCCAAAATCCTTTTAGAGAGACTGGCCAGAGGGTTACCATCTTGCAAATGCTATGAACTTTAAGTTTCCTCAATTTTCACCCACACCACTCAGTACAATTATACCCAATGCCAGTAAAGAATCAGTGTACTTAATGGAAGAGATGTTAAGCTGGAATCCAGTTCGTCGACCTACAGCACAACAGGCTCTCAGGTATTTATTTAATAATACTACTATTACTTCTTATTCATAATTTCTATTGCTGTATAAACATATACAAGATACAGGTTTTCTCTTTAGAGATCCATATTTTCAAGTTGGACAAAAATTGGGACCCACTCAATTTGATGCTGGAAAGTCTAAAAGCCATATTTTATCTCAAAGCTTTGGACCCAAAGTTTCTGCTTCTTCACTTGCATTTAACTATGGTGGAAACATAAATACTAAACCCATAGTTTCAATGGCTCAAAACATGAATTCCCAGCAGCTGTCAGTGGGTTATAGTGAAGTACCTAATCAACCTAAACCCATTCAACCTCTGCAAAATACAGAAAATAAACACAATATTGAGATTCAAAAGGAAAAGAAACAGGCAACAAGAATGATGCAGAGAGAGGAAATTGGATCTGTTTTGGGGTACGTATTTAAATTTTATGGCCTCAGGCTTATATTTTATAATTAATTACAATTTTTCATTAAATTTCATTTTATTTGTAGGCAATCTCTAGATCTCTGATTCGTCTGGAAATGTTAATTTGTCTTTGGCTTCAGGTACTTAAAGAGTTCAGACTTAAAGTTTTTAAAGAGGAAAACATTTTTACTGTCCATATTGTCATGCAGGCTACTGATTTGTTAATTTTTTTAAATGGATATTATGAGATAACATTTTGTTCGAGTTGGCAATTATAATTTATTTTAATCATATCAAAATCTTTTTTAATATCAATTTTAGTGTATTTCCATCTAGAGTGAAACACCACATTTAGTGTTATCCTGGGCGTCAACACGTTTGCTTTCTTGCACTTTACAAGAAGAGAAAGTCCTGTCAGAAAAATGGCAAATATTCTGCAAAAAACTCTTATTGCTGAATCCTGGTTAAGTGGATAAATCCTGTTGCTATATACAGTAAATTACTTCTTTTAACGTTCTTTTAACATGTGGTGTAGCAAGAATCCAAGGTTTGTGGGTTCTTGATACCAAAATATCTATTGACTGCAAAATGTCTGTCTATCTGTTCATCCGTCCATCTATGGTCAAGTGCCTAGTTTCGAGTGGATATTTTGATATTTGAGGGTACTTTACATGAAGCCTTAAAAACAAAATTTATTCAAAAATGACACCAAACATTTTGATTCATCTTTGTCCTCAGATAGCGTAAAGGAAAAATTTAAAAAATGGTGCAGGTGTCAAGTTGGTTCAAATTCCAGATTTTTTTGAAAATTGCAAAGGTGCAATTTTTGGGGTTGTCTTCATACAACTATAATATTGAAGATAGATATTTTTTTAAATGAAATCTGTTCTTTAAAGGCAGACCTTGAAATAAGATGATTTTTTTGAAAATATGAGTAGTTTTTGAGTAATTATGGTCAAAATATAGGCAATTTTTAGAATTTTTCTTTTTCTAGAGTGTACCAATTTTTTTAAAAATCTTCTCCATGTATGTAACATGGAACGATAAAGAATATGATGCTATTCTCATTTCCAGCCAACTCTCTGTTATTTTGAAAATTGAAAAAAAAGTTAAAATTACAAAACTACAAAATTGAAAATAGAGATTTTTGTCTTAGACAAGTCTGATGTAAAAATTAGCTCTTTAAAAAATATCATGTGTAAGTTGTTGAAAAAACAAGTAGATTTTGCATAATTTGTGTCTTAAATTTCTAAAACAACAAATTTCAAAAATCACTTACTTTCTTCTTTAAATTTTCTCCTCATTTGTAACAACGAACTGTAAAAAATATGATGCTATTCCCATTTTTGACAAACTCTCCGCGTCTTCGAAAATTGCAAAAGTTGCATGATGGAAATATTGGGTTGAGGCAATTACATTTTTAGGCATTGGCCCAAGTTCAAACATTATGGAGCTACTGTAGCGTAGTAGTGTGCTAAAGGCAAGTTAACTTGGCAGACCTAAGTTCGTGTCTCAGTGCGGAAAATAATTTTTGCTGTTTGAAAACACTTTTGCATGTTTATGTAGTAGTTCTGTATAATATAGTGGAACACTTAGAAGTAATGCGAGAAAGTAAGAGCTGTTATAGCACCACTAGTTTTTTACTTTCATGAGAGTTTACACTAAGTGAGGATAGTGTAATTTCAAAAAAAGGAAGCAAAAATTTTAAATAACTGAGACAGTGATAGTAAGATCAGTGAATGCAGAATATATACAGAGGAAAGCACATGTGTAACAGGAACTTGGAGCAAGAACTACTAACGTACACCTGAAGGGAAAAAAAAAAAACAAAAAAAAACAACTTAAACAAAAAAGTCTGCAATGCTCATGGTGGGCTCAATCTGTAATGTATGCTGTGCTTTTTGTGCTCTCCATCAAAGCAGTACATAAATGTTTGAAAGTTCATAAAAAATTGTTGAGTTGCTGTTGATTAAGATTTGACTTACCTTAAATGCAAGTTTTACATTAAAGTAAATACCACTAAATCAGGGATGGACATGCATTGTTCTTATGGTGGTATTTTTAGGACCAGAAATATTTTACTTTACATATGGGTTTACCTTAAAATAGGATACCACTAACTTTGGGTTACATTGTATATCCCTAGTTTCTCTAAATGGTTTTCAGGAAATCCATGAAAAGGATGTAGATATAAGAGATATGTTTGAGCCTTCTGTGAGTGAAATGTTTATGCAGTCTTTTTCTAGGAATTACTCATTCCGTTTATGTCTTTTGTTACATTTTTGCTAGTTTTAAGTAAAACAAAAATGATAGTGAAATAAAATTCCGAAAAATAAAATGTAAGAAGTTCTTATAACAGTAACAAGAAGCTTAGATAATGAACTTCTTGTAGGTATGTTACTATATTAACAGTAGTAAATGTTATTTTAATGTTAGTACCTAGTTCCCCTTTTCATAATAACTATATATCTAAATATTGTTAATGCATATTTTTAATGTGTAATAATATATCGAAGGTTTATTGTAGTTTTTATCATTAGATTCCAGCAGGACAAAATAATGTGAGTCTATATTTTAACAAATCTACATTGAGCTTTTAGAACAAGTTATTATTCACATGCTGCAGACAAATACTTGCACCTTTGTGGTGTCTTCACAACACAACATTCCACCATATCACATAAGTTTAGTAACACCATATTCCATAGAAAAGGTGACCACATAACAATGCACAATCGTGTGGGCAATGAGCAAATTGTGTTAACACTAAAACTAACTGTAAAATACTATCTCAGTGAGATAGATCATTAGAATACTTCTTGGAAAAGCATATTGTGATAAATTGAAAGTAATTACACATATGTGATAAAATACATTCATGTTTATGAGAACTCTCTGCTTCCTGCCCATGAAGTACAGTATATTTGAGATTAAAGACAAGAATGTGATGTGCATCATCCCTGAGGTTTCACCAGCAGCATTGCTGAGGTTGGCATCATCTCACTGCTTTCCTCTATTTTACTTGTTTCTTAACATGATTCTCCAATATCAGATTAACTCTTAGCAATTTCATAAATTACATACTTTTACTCGGATTATCATTGTGGGGATGGGCAAAGAAAATTTGTATAGCATTTTAAACTTCTTATATTTCCATTGAATATATGGAAATGAAAAAACTTTGAAAATTTTGTATTAGAGCCTTCATTTATATTAATCTCTTAATAATGTCATCCTCTGATGGTCACACAGGGCTACTCTGGACCCTCTGCTCATCCTATAGTGATGTCAGAGGTCATAACTATTTCAAAAAAAAAAAAGAAAAACCAACATCATTGTAATATCTAGTAACTTACAGTAAGTTCAGACATTGAAGTTTTAAAGTGAAAACTTCAAGATTAATATTTTTCCCACGGAATTTGAAGTGTTTGCTTTCTATTGGAATGTATTCCAAGATTAGAGGACAATCATATTTTTCTGTAGGAAGTACAACATAAATTAGCTTTGCTAGATTCTACTATTCATTTCTTTCATTCAAGATATGGAAATATTTAATTATCTGTTAAAAATTATGATTACATCAGGCCTGCCCAACTGGCTTCATACTTGCCTGACCGCCCGTGATGGGTTCGAGCTGACCTCCAAGCTTAGATGGGAGTTATCGCGAGAAGGTAGCTTGTGAAGGGCAGATGTATTAATAGAGTGAGAACTGGATAGGCAGCTAGCTCCTTTTGACGAAAATACCTTCAGAATAGTTTGACGAACGCATCGAATATGCAAATTTCATTAGAGCTTCAAGTATATTTCGTCTTTTAAAAATCGTTCTAGCCATGGGTAAGTGGACGTCCATAAATTACGTAACGCATAAGGGATTGAGGCAGAGTTACACTGCGTTACAAAGAGGGGTAGGGGGATCATAGCTTAGTGTTAAGCAATGCTGATATTTTTTTTAATAATTCCTAAAACATCTATTTTATTCACTCTCATACCAAAACATAAAAATAATTACAAATTAAATTTAAAAAATATAAATAAATTAAAAAGTCATGATGTATAAATTGTTACAATAAATGAAATTATTTTTTCATCAATTGTATGTTTGTAGATTACGAAGAAAATATTCAAAGCTTATCTAAGTATATTCTAGAATGAAATTAAATTGGCGCAGTATACTCCCGAGTCCACGCGCCATTCACAACGACGTCTTGGGGTCAGATTTTTTTCCTACTCGCCCTTCATTCCAAAATTGTCCTCCATTTTATTGTCAGATGCAGTTCACATCGTCAACTAATTCTGACTTAAATTATCATAAATTTTAATATATAACACAAATTAAATTAATACAATTCATTGTTATTACTTTATAATTTATTTCTACGTAGTGCATTGCAGGGGGGGGGTCTCAAAATTCTCCAGATTTGCGTTACGCAATTTATGGACGGCTCCTAAGACAGTAAAAAGCCAAATAAAGTACATTCATAGAATTATTTTGATCAAAAATAAATTTTCAGTTGTTCCTACCCTAATCATCTCCGAAAAACCTGTTTTTTATTATACACGCACATTTTCTTGAACCTCAGAATAGCTACCCCCACTCCTTTATAAACATTAGTTGAATCGAGAATAAATGGTGACGAGGAGCATTGTTGACTAAACTGATCACCATGAATGTTCTCTCCTGTGTAGTAGCAAATATTTTGCAGGGAAAAACAAGCTGCAGATTAGATAACAAGTCCTGTGGTCAAAATCACAAAACCCTCACTCCTCTCGCATCTAGTGAAGTGAGGGCTCAAGAAAACGTGCGCGGATAATACGTTCTATTTTAAACGTATTTATGGTTCATACTTTTAAAAAATAAAAACCCCTCATAATATTTTTTTTTTGCGAATTATATTACTAATTCAAATATATTTTCCTAAAAAAATCGAAGTTTCTTTAAAAAAAAATCGAAGTCGCTTTGATCCTGTGTCATGAGCACTTCTCACCAGAAGGTATTTTCCCTGCCACTATGTCACATTCATTCCCTCCCTCCACACAACTCGCGAGCGAATTTCTGGACTCGCACTACGGGATCCGCTCGGGTAGATTCGCAGTGCAACTGAGTTGAGCAGGCCTGCTCTACCACTACTTTCCCTTTTCTGTAAATTGTAATACCAAATTTTCAGTTTCCTTGAAACTAATCAAAACACATTGGCCCACTGCTTTACATCACTGACCTTAATTTGTCACTGTGCCTCTCACATACACTGATTCTGCTTCATCTTTCACACTAAAAAACATAAGCGTTTACAGAGGGGACCAGGGGGCCTTGGCCTCCGTGGAAATTTTGAAAAGGGTCCCATAACCTTACATAATAAAACATTTTATATCCTTAAATATGTTCAATCACTGATTCCCCCCCTTTTTCCCTGGCAATCAGGGAGATTGTTATTCGGCATTTGGGCTCTGCAAGCCTTGTTAACCTAATAAAATCAATCATATTTATTAATTATATTATTAAAGTTATAATTTCATTCCCCTTGTAGCATGATTTATTAATTTAGGAACAAAATATGTCATATGTAAATAAATGGAAAAGGGGGCTCAGAAATGCTGTTGTCTCCCCCTCCCCCTCTTGTTTAAGGTTGTGCACGCCTACGCTAAAACATATCCTGCACATCTGAAAGCACTGACAATGAACGACTCTTCATATCTCTTGGAGAATGGATATTGGAGAAGCCAACAAAATGCATTTCATATTCCAAACATATTTCATTTGAAGTTAATCATTATTATTATAATTTGATTTATAGACTCAAAATTGAGTCTAAAAACTCCAAATCTGTTTCTTAGATACACTGAGGCTTGAAATGCTTTATTGGGGTATTCAGTTTACAATTCCACACAACCATACAAGTTTCTTTTGAATTAAGCTGCATGAATTTTAAAGGATTTAGAAGGTTGTCGACTACATGAACTAACTCTGGTAACATGAACAAGGGATCATTTATTTACATTTCCTTATGTTCATGAACTGTAGATAAGTAAACTGAAAAAATAATTTTAAAAATAAAATATCTAATCCTTTGTCATGTTGTTCGCACCATTTACTCCAAAATTCAAGCATCAACGTCTACCTTGTTTGATGTATTTAGTAATATAACATTTCTTTAAATAACAACTATATAAATATTTAAAATAATAACTGTTAATAATTTAGTAATATAACTTTTCTTAAAACAATAATCAAATACACTTAAGATATAATTTGAAGAATGAATAAAATAAAACATTAAATGAAACTAGTAACGTTCATGTAATTAGTGAAGAGAAAAAAGGCAAAAGAATTTTAAAATGTACAAGTAAATTTACACTTTCCTATTCTTAATACAGCAAAGTATTTTTTCATCATTCTTCAATATCTCCAATGGCTAGAGTATTTATGTAATATAATACGCTTTGCTTTTGCTGCACATGCTTATGCTTATGTAAAAGAAGATGAGTCACAGTAAGGATTCATTTAACTCAGAAACAGTCTTTAATTAGCCTCTTAACAGAATTAGTTTTTTTCACCATCAATTATAGATTAATTCTGTTTTGAAAAGCACAAAACAAACTGCAATTCATGATATTGCTTCAACAATGTCATTTTATGAAATTTCTTTTCATCGTATAACCTGAATTTCTACTGAATTCCCTTACTTAAATGGCTACATTTTTGTCGATAGTTAATTTCTATAATCAGAATTATATAACAATGAAATTGGAAAATAATATTATTGAGTAAAAATAATTACTTGTTAAACCATCAGTGTTTAAACATTCTGCAAACTGGTAATACAATTTTATTGTCATCATCATTATCGTCATCGTCATCGCCATGATAACTGAAAGTCCTGATGGGCTGTTGATTACCATTT